AAAACACGATGTCCAAATGGCTTTGCGTCTGAGGTTTCATATCAACGACGCCTACAGAACGAGCCCCTAAGACCGAACTTGAGTCTAGTCATCCTAGTGTGGAAGTTTAGACAATCAGAATAGTGCTTTGGGGCAATTGCAGTACACGACGATACTACCATGGGAAAAGGCTACTAGGCAAGCGCAGCCGCCCAAAAACTCCTTGAAGGAGCTAGAGATAGGACCTCAGTGTCGGTACTGCTGGCAAGAACCCTCCGACCTTATGCGGGCATTCTTCAACTTCCAACGAAAAGTTGCCTCTAAGGGAAAAGAATGTGTGGATACTGAAGCTGACAGAAGCCCCCCGAACCTGTCGCACGTGAGCTTAAAGTAGTCTTTTGAATTGCCTCTTTCTACCTTGCCACAAACTTGTCTGGTGATCCCCCTCATGCAAAATGCGAGAACCCAAAAGATCACTACTAACCGTCAACTGCTGCCACAATTCCACTACAGTCAGCACTAGAAGCCTGAAAAAATGGAGGCCTTGTGCCAGGATGTTTGACACAAGTTCAACTTGATTGTTAGTTTTCTGTCTTTCAGCGCTGCTGTCATTTGTCGTTGACATGATCCAAGTTTCGTAATCGGCAAGCCCTAACTTGCTAAACCCTAGCCCTTACTTTTCCAGTCACTCTTCCCTGAACTAGCATCCCCGCCCCGAATTATGAAGCACTTTCTCCCAGCATATGCATATGAGGGTTTCCAAACATGAGGGTCTCTTTTGGGAGCCCCCCCCCATAATAAGGATAATCATATTTGGTGCTTTTCTTGCTCCGCTCCGATTACTGGTACTCTTTTTTTTGGAGACTTCGTTATAACGGGGGGGCTTCACCATGATCAGGTAGAGGAGATGAATTTACTGAACCTTGAATTGGAGGTCTCCAGGTTTTGTGCACTTGAACGGGTTATAAGGTTGATGCCGTTATAGAAGTGTGCATAGAGATTGCAGGGTTATACATGGATTACGCCTGAGGGATTTACTTAGAGGGTCGCTTGACCTAGTAAGTCTGCTCAGTAGTTGGGTTTGTAGGGCCTATCATGGGGAGTAATTCTGCTCAGAAGCCTACGATGCAGCCAGGAATTGCGCCTGCGCGTCCCTCAGTGGTCAGACCCCTTACATACTTCATTCCCTCTGTAGTGCTTGCATGCATGACGTCCCCTGGCAAGGAAAAAAGCGTACTGCTGGAGTCGATGAGCCGCAACTAGGCAAAAGAAGTATCAAGCTGCCCCAGAACCAACATGCTGTTGCTGATCCTGTATGCGACAGTATGCTGGACCAGAATTCTCAAGCTACAGGGTATTCAGAGCCACGCATGATTTTCATCATCAACCGGAACGCCACAGTAATGGCCAACAATCTGAAACATGAAACTGGGATGGATTGTGCCCTCTGCCCTCTTCCTTGGTCTAATGAACCGCACAGGAGCAGTAACAGTGACAGAATACTGGAGACAACCAAGAGGTGACCAGTATACTTTCATAGTCACAACAAGAAGCACGTCCTGCCCCTGCTATACAACGCATGCACCCCTAGTATGTCCGTACACCCCGCCGACGGTATTGTAATAAGATGTTGGGAGTATTTGGTACTAGGGGGCAAGGATGTTTGCTAAAGACGGGCAGCGGATTCGTGGCATTGAGCATCTTCGCTTGGTCAGTGCTGGAATCCTGCCGTGAAGCTTAGACAGCTTCAGAGCATCTTTATTAAGATCTGTCCAGAATTTAAGCTTGTTCCCACATGAAGAATACCATGCGACTGTTTTGACAAATCTGAACCCAAAACCCTAAGCCCTAAACCATCCTAAGCCATAGACAAATGTTTTGTTCGATCTTCTCCCAGTATAGCTTTGCCTGAGCTACGGACCCTAAACCCTAAACACAAGACTAGATCTGCCGAGGGTAAAAGAGACAATGCAAAAAGTCACACACGCACAGAACCCAGGCGGTCTGCCCTCAACACAGAGCTGCCTTTCGCCCGTACAACGAAATCTATATGTTTTGGATCAAGGTTCAGAGGGCCATTGCTGTTACTGATCTTAGGCCGTACCATGACATCTATATGGTAGTTTCCCAAAATAACGGGACCCCAATATAGACCCTAAAATACTATAATCCTTATTATAGGGACCCCCCAAAATGGTACCCCTAAGTTGGGGAAACCCCCATATGGACATCTGAGATCAAGCTTCAAGGGAACCCTAAAGCCCCAAAATGTGTGGTTGGAGGATGCTAACTGGCGCGTCTATTTCGCTGCGCCCAGAGCCCAACGAGCACGCTGTGTACGCGCTGAAGTGCTTTGGAAGACCCAGAAGGTTCATGACTTAAGGTGATTTTGCGCCCCTTTCAATGAGGGTCGGGATGTGCTTGGGTTTAGGATTTCCGAAGCTAGGGGGCCCCTTTCTGGGAGTCTCCCCCTGTACTATAAAGAGCGTGAAATGTTCAACTGGGACATTTCACCTTGGCCTTTCTCCCTAATGTTTAGGACGCCCCCCCACCTCCAAATCATGTTGTGTTGAGCTTTTTCCTAGGCCACCATTACGAACCGGGGGCATCTCGAAGATGACACCGTTTATCAAGTGTTGAAGTTTGGGTGCCAGCGATTGATTGTGAACACTTCCGAATGCCAACAATGTTGTATGGAGTTATAGTTGTATGAAGTTATACTAATATATGATACTTTACAAAGCATTCTTTCAACTGATTAAGGTGGTCTGCCTTGAAACCCTGAAGCCTAAAACCTCAAACCCGCCTGCAAGCCCAATGGCTTCACCTTGGGTGTCCCTCACGGCAAAATTCATGGATTCCTTTGGTTCAGCCTTCAGAAGCCTAAGGCCACACCCATAGGTCCCCTAGTATGGGTTTAGGGCTCAGGGTTTAGGGCTTAGGGTTTAGGGCTTAGGGTTTAAGGGGGGTTTAGTGTTTAGGGTATAGGGGCCTTTTAATTCTGGGAGCCCCTGCACGACTGGCATATACTTTCGCTACTGCCCGCCCTCAGTAACAGTTGGATAATAATCCTAATACGGTTATACACAGCCCTTAATAGGACCCTTAAAAAAGCCCTAAACCCTAAACTCCAAAACCCCTAAACCCTAAGCCCTTAGTAGGACCCCTAATATAGACTGTGACCGGGGGGGGCGGGGCAGTACCCAACATATACTCCATGGGTGCCCTTCATGGGCCTGAGAAACCTTCTCATTTAGGTCAGCGCTCATATGAGCTATAGTCTAAACTCCTGCAAGGGGGTTATATAGGGAATTATATAGGGGAGTATTAAAGGGGTTATGAAGGGGGATGCTAGGAGTTTAGACTATGGCTCATATGAGTGTTTAGGGCTCACACTTCGAACCTTCCCAAGCCTCACCCAAGCCTAAACCTCAAACTCTCAACCACTAGCCCTAAACCGTCAAGCATACTCTAAACCCTAAACCCTTAGAAGAAAACAGTCAGGACTGACCATGACAAAGATCCGTATCCTTTGAGACTTCTTGGGGGTTTCTCCAAATAGGAGTACCTTGGGGATCCTAGGGTATTAGGGGAATTGCGGGGGGACGGTGGGGGTCCCTGTTGAGGAGTGTACAGGGACGCTCTTGAAGATTTCTTACATTAGTATTCCGTGTGGGATCCAGGGTTGCGTGCAAAGAAATATGGCCGGATTGTCAGCGATGCACCTAAACCCCTAAACCCTAAGCCCTAACCTCTCCCCTTCCCCCCCCGCTTACTAGTAAACAGGAGAGCCCCAGTCCATTGAGCCCGCAGCCACTAGAATTCTGCAAATCCTGAGCTCCCACCTTCTACGTAAACCTTTTGAGGTGCCCCAAAGATAGCCGCCTGGTGACCTTCGAGGCAGGCTAGTGACCCTCAAAAGCTTTTACGTCCTCTCCCCATCCTCCTCCCGCCTCCATTGCCGCCGCCGCTACCGCAGCCGCCGCTACCCCCGCCTCTGCTGCTGCCGCCGTTGTCACTAATACACCTCTACGAATATGGTTCCAGTATGAGCGAGAGTACTGGTACGAGAACCTATACCAGTACTAGCGGTGTACCAGTACAAGCTCCTAGCATCGGTCGATGCAGCAAAAACTCGCTTCCACCACAGTTGCTACCGCTCACTTATCCACGGCTGCCACCGTCCACTACCACCGCGGCCGCCGTTACTACGACCAACCCCCTGAGCGTTTTGCAGGCTCAGAGTTGTGGAGAGTCCATGACGTTCAGTGTCCAGCCGGCCCGCGGTGCCAATGGTTTCAACAGCTGTCTCATGAATCGGCGTGGTGGCTTTCCATTCTTGAGCTCTACTTAGCTTTCCAAGCTTCGTGCCAGATGTGGCGCGGGTGGAGGAAAGGCCTTTGTGTGTAGTAAGTAGTGCTGGTTGCTGAGACAGGCTTGCAAGTTGTCCCCTCCTCCTAATAGCAGACCCCCACCCCCCTACCAAGGATACACCAACTGTTAGGGAGTCGTTGGGGTTAGCTATTTGGGGAGGGAGATTGAGACACAGTTGAGTAATGCCCTCTTGGTGGTTTAGCCAAGTGTGATTATAGTCGTTATGTACAATGCCATACGCACAAGGGCGATAATCTTTCTCGAGATAGATCCCTATCCCAGGTTTTTTTCTGCTCACTTTTTGGCGGGCATTCTGAATCAGTTTCTGAATGCTCTACATCACACTACAGGTGTCCCGCCTGTTGCCTACCTGATTGGCTTGTGGTTCATGTCGCGCGTGATTTCAAAGGGAACGTGTAGCTGATAGCAGGGCCTTCTTCTAAAGCGGGACTGTATTTGGGCGGAGAAGCCTGAGATAGGATTCGAGCAGACCCATAGAACGTATTCAGCAAGTTTCCCGCAGATAGCGGAGAGCTTTGGTAATTTTGTTTGCGATTATTTAGTTCGGACTCAAGATTCCGTAGGGGTCTGCTAGGCAGCAGCAGCGCCATAGCAGTGCTATAGTGTACGCTCACCAACAAAGCGCAATGGACAGTGCATTGGCCACTTTGATCTTCCTGTTCGACTTGTTTGTGTACGGGCATTATTATGTGCACTACGACTTATTCGAGCGGAACAACCAGAAGAAGTTCCTTTCCAGCCAGCCCACAAAAAGAATTTTTCTGACCCACGTCTTCTCCGGAATGTTCGAGCTTTCAGTTGGCTACCTGGCGGTTCTTATGACCAACTCTGGGTCCCACAGCCTCAGCTACGTGTGTACAGCTAGTGCGCTGTTGTTTCATATCCCGACCGGCCTGGCGATGGCGCCGCACGCATGGGGCATCAAGTGCCTGACGGTGCCAGGCTACGTTGGCGTGGGGCTGCTGCGCGCAAGCGTGGCGCTACGCGTGTTCCTACAAGATCCCCTCGTGTTCGAGCAGTCTTGGATCCTACTGCACATGGGTGTGCTTGTGCGCTTTGTCAGCTGCTACGTGGTGCCCTTCACCTCGAAGGGTGGGCGCTACGGCGATCTCAGCATCTCACCCGTCTACCACACGATGAGCGTGGCAATCGCCTCTGCGGTCACTGTGGCCCTTGTTTTTCCACCCTGGTACAATGTGCTGTTCCTGGGTGCTTATGCTTGGTTCAAAATGGCCTACGACAATGTTCCTGCCGTGAAGAAGATGATTGACTCTGAGCGGTGCAGCGCCGTTTTTGTTTGGAAGAGTCTGCTTAGTCGTGTTTCCGATTGATGTTGCACTCGGTTTGGTGCACGGCCCCTCTCACTACCAGGACTATTGTAATGATTACAAGTATTTGAAAGTATACCCATCTGTTCATTTGTATTCTTATCATTACTGCTGCTGCTACTACT